TTCACTATAATTAATGGGCATCAGGAAACATGACCCTGCCTAGATAAAAGGGAGTTCTGGATCATTAAGATTTAGATAATGGAAGGGGTTATATGTGAAAAGCAATTGTCTGGTATGACAATAGCAGAAGAAAAATGGAATGGGAGGGTTTACTTTGTTTTTAGCTGGTTTAGAAAACATAAGCACAGCATGCTTAGTAAAACTCTAGCAGACACTATGTTTGGAAATTATGTAATAACTCCATATAGGCTGTAATGATATCCTGAAACCCTGTATTTAAACTAACCTGAATTACAATGAGAGATAAACAGAATATTTACCCATCCCTTATGAGCTGCTGCTGATATGTAAATTTATTCTTCTACTTTGCACAAATATACTTTTGAGCTACTGCTTAAACACTTCAAGGTCCTTAGCCAAACAGTTTTAATGATGCCTCCAATATTATGAAAGTGTGACATTTGATGAATGCCTTGTATAGTTGTGATATCGGGGAAAGTGTAAACAAAAAACGCACATCAAGTCATCGTGCAACACCTAGATAATTTATAATTTTACTGTTTATATCCATCTTGACATTTTTTATCTGCCAAAGGCAGGTTTCATTTGGAATCTTAATCTGAGATTTATTTGGTGGATCTGGAAATCATAGCTAGAGTTCCCACAGGAAATGGTCCATCTACCAACAGATTAAATGGCAGTCCTGCAGTTGTTAAGGGAGCTCTGCATTTAACACACATGCATACTCATTCAGTCAGCACTGTGGAGAAAAATTAAAGTAGTAACCCAGGTTTAGGAACAATGTAGCTAAAAAGTCCCATATTTGCTGAATGACAAAGGGTTATATAGCAGCATTTCATTTTATTATTCGTGCTTGAATTTCTTGTTTGCTTTGTTGAGTCTGCTGACGAATACTAATAAATGCCTGCAACAATCCAGACGAGAGATGCCTGGCAACAAAGCTATGCGGTGGACCTCCCTGATCTTCTCCAGTTCACAACCTGACCTTTTGAAAAATTGGCTGGGCTAAGCTGCAGAATTTGGGTGTAATGGTTATTGTTAACTCCAGCTTTAGGATTTATTAATTTGTGTGATCAAGACTTACCTATACTTCAAAGTTTCAAAAGACCAAACACAATCATCCATCCATTAGAACTAACATTGTGTTTCAGTGAATCCCACTTAGTATCTGCCTAGAGATTCTGCTGTTTTGATGCAATCGGAATATAAAAATGCTTTTTCAAGTGTGAGACCAATCCAATGAAAATCTGGGGTCTTCTCAGAGACTAATATTTTAAAATAACAATATGTTAATGAATTGAAAACAGAGAGTGGAATGCCAAAGGAAATGTCTGATATTTACACATTAATAAATGCATCACGATTAACTGCAGAGAATACCAAAATAATGATTGGCTGCATATTTTAAGGATTTAGACGCATTTTTCTATTTTAAATATTCACCAGTTTGTACACAATTGCTGTTTAGATGCAAAATAGGAGGGCAAAAGACTTAGTGAGAGAGACAGACAAGGGAAATATCATTACTAAAATAATCGGAATCCTCAGAGAATTGTAAAAAATTGCCTTTGCCAGAATAACTCCAACTGTTCTTAATCTCCTTCTCAATTTATTTCTTTATGAACGGTGTTGCCAGGGTTCCACACAAGTACAGGTGAATAAAGGAGCATTCAAAGTAACACATATGTCCCCTCGCTTAAATGGCTAACACAGAATGAATTCACTGTTCTCTTTAGATTCCTTTAAGGAATAAAAAAATGAACCATTAAACTTCTGAGTTTTGTCTGAATTTTAGCAGATGAAATATTTTCAAGCCTCTTTTTTTGTGTGTCTATGCATGATGGGATAGAGAGCAAACTAAGACATTGATGCAAAATATAACTTGGGTTATTCTTACTTCATTTGCAGAGAACTTTCTCAGTGATGTTCCAGTAATAAGAATATGTGGTTCTCGTTGATCATAATTTTGGACAGCTTAAATTCTTAGCTGTAGCCAGAGACTGAGAATTGAAGTGTATTGTTCTGTTAACCTGACTGACTTCTAAAACAGTTTTAATTGTTTGGAAGTTTTCTGTATTAGGATAGTCAATATAAAAAAAGTTATTTTATTCTATTATTTTTCGTTATTATTACAGGAAGTTTGTGTATACTGTACACTGCACATCTGTCTTCTAATACAGAAATACTGTCATCTGAATTAAAATGATGATTATTATTAAATTATGGGTGTAGAAGGATACCAATACAGTTATTTGAAATGTCTCTTAATTTTTTGTTTGTGCAAATGTTACTTTATCATTCATAAGTAAAAATGGTATTTTTTTTCTTGAAGTCTAATTGAAATGATTTTCTAAAGCCTCTCTGACAGAAGAGAGAAGAATTTGAGGTCTCTGAGGAGGGAACAGGAGTAGAAAGAGTCACCAGGGAGGTAGCACAGGCTCCAAGACACAGTGCCTTGGACTTCTGCAGTTTTACTTCTGCCATGACTTGCTCAATGACCTCCATCCAGTTACTTCATTACTGTCTTGATGGCTTTAAAATTACTATCACAGTGCTTATGTATCCCTTATAAAATACCTGTGAGAGTTTCCAGAAAATGTTTTCAAGGCTTATTTTGGTGAACCTATGTCGTTCGTTTCTTAAAATAAGAGCAGATATCCTATTTCAGTATAAAATCTGGGATCTTTTCGAGTAAGAGTTACTTAAAAATAAGTTTATACTCCTCATTCTTCTGAATTGACCCATGGTGCTCTCAGTGGGGCCCACAGTTATATATCACTGGGGCACTGAGCATGCAATGCATCTACGTGGTGATTTCCTCTTCGTTACTGCCAAGGGCTTGGCTGGTTATATGTGGTGTTTTGCCTGGGCACAGCACTGAGAAATAAAAGGAATTAGCCTTGTATTATAAGACTACTCCAAGCTCAGTCTTCCCTTCCTAACAGGTTCCTGTGGCTGCCATTCTGCTGTGCTACAGAAATGATTTAGTGAGATCTTAGAGTCCGACCTACTGAATAATTGTCTTAAAGTTTGCCCAGTTTTCTTTAAACGATAGAAATAGTTTGTCATGAAGGGACAACTGTTTGCTGTGGGTTATTGGTTCTCAGTATACTACACTGCATTGAAGGGGCCTAAATAATTGCTAACATAAGTAAATCTGTAGTAAGTACAAAGATAAGTAAAGCTGCGCTTTTTTTTGTTTGTTTTGGAGAAAATGTATATTGACCTTGTACTTTTTGTACTGCACTGTTGTAATTGTTTTCTGGAAACAGAAATTACTTTATTATTGAAAATTAAGTACAACATCTTTTCTTGGGATTAACTCTGAAAATTTGTTCACAGATTATGGGAAAGATAAAATAGTGAGGGAAAAGTCAAAAGTAATGAACACCCTTTGAGATAGGCATGTAAATCATGTATGTTGCATCTGTGTCAACTCAAATATGAATGAGAAAAGAAATGACAGGCATTCTGAAAAAGCATCAAACCTAAACCAACTCTTTTCTTTCCACTTATGCCAGGCAATAGGATCAGATTTCTTTCACCAGCCTCATTTTCTTTCTTTGCATATTTATGCCTGTAAAATCCTTTAATTTTGGCTTCCCCTTCATTTTCAGGATTTATGCCTTTTAATCATTCAGTAAGGGGTGAACTGTTGAGCAATCTGAGTCTTTCACAGTCATTCTGTTTGGTAGAAGTTCCAGTAGTTATGCAGCTGAGTGAATGAATGTTTGTCTTTGACAAAAAGGCTGACTCATCATTTTCAGCTCATGAAGGAATATTCCGCCATAGTACTAATTTCATTTGCATAGCTTGAAAAGTTGGTGGCTATCAGGTTCAAGTTTTCAGTTAGACTTAATATTTAATTTCTATTTATTTATTATATATATGTAAAAACTCAAGTCCAGTGGCATTAGATTAATGCAGCTTAAGACAGTTCCATAATCCATTTTTTTGCATGAAAATATTGGAAATTGACTTCTATTAATGCAGCAACTGGCTTGTCCTAGCAGCTTGTTACAACACTTGCAGGTGTGCATGCCTTGTCATACACACATGCCCAAAAAGTATCTTTTCAAAAATGTTTGTAATATTATTAATGTACAAAAAATCTAGACAATTTGAAAGTCAATAATAAAGAAAAGCAATTAATCTAGTGAAAATGAAAAAGTGAAGTTCTCGAGTACTGCTCTTACACACTTGACAGTTATTGCAGCAAGCTGAGGTAGACGTGTGGTTTGCAGGTTAGGGGCAAGAGCAAGCCTTTTTAAACTGTAGTAAGTGTGTCCTTTTGTTCCAGTGGGAATAGGTTAGTTTGGTATAGGGTGGTTCTTTGCTTTGATAGTTTTGTTGGTGAATATTCCCTCTTGGGGTTTGAAATTCAAGGATTTTGGTATTGTACAAATACCAAAAAAAAAAAAAATAAAAAATCCACCACAGAAATTGAAGCTGCATTGTTGTTTAGACTAAGGAAAAAAAACCCCACATGATTAACAGTAAATGAGAGTTTGTCAATTACTGAATTTTTGGGGACTTTTAGTAGTTGAGGTTGCAGTTAGTTCCTCAAGTGTAGCACAATGTTTTGTTCTGCATTTTTTTCAAATATTTTTAATCTGACAGTGTCACATAGGAAGAATAAGCTACTGAGTTTGCAGTCAGCTTTGCTCATGCTCCCAGAGTGTATACGGCTCGTTCTCTTCCTTCCTGGTTTTGCTCTTTTTCCTATTCTGCCTCTTACTGGCATCCCTCTAGAGGTTCACTCACACAGTCTTTTGCAGGCAGATGAGGACATGCATTGTCTGTGCTACAGACCTGCTTAAAACAAATACTAGGAAGCTATCGGTAGCAAGTGGTAAGTACTATTACACTTGAAATTGGTTTGGAGCACCAACAAGGGCTTCCAATGTCCCCATAATCATCTGCAGGTGGGTCTGTAGCCAGCCATGTATTTTGCAGTGTTGTGTGCGTGTTCCATTGGTTTTTGTTTGTTTCCCTTTATTTTTATTCCTTGGAGATCCACTGCAAACCTCCGAGCTGATCAGCGTGGTTTGGCATGTGGGGTGCTGAAAGAGTGCAAACAGGGGGAAGGAGGTGGATGCTGGATGATGGGGCTGCTGAATATGCTGAGTGGTGTGCAAGGGAAGCTACTGCCTCCTTAGCCTTCCAGGTGAATCTGCACCTTCTGTGCACTTACATCTTCAGCAGTTCTTTCCTTATTATCATTGTCGGTATAGGATTCTCTAATGCTGTGTTTTCCCCCACTTCTAAGAAAAAGCTATGAGAAATAGTGGCTGCCTGCAGAATGTGTTAGGATCAATGTTTTTACTTGACTTTTTAACCACTCCCAGCTTAACAACATTGAATTCTGTTCTGCCTTTACTATTTCAAGCCATGACAGCATTATCTTCCCCTTACATCCCTCACAATTCCCAGCTTTAATTCTAGTGTCTTTATATTCCTTCTTCCTAACATTTGCCTTTCTTTCCCTCAATGTGAACAAGCTATTGGTTCAAGATAAATACATACAGATCAGCTGTTCAGCTTCTCCCTATAGTGAAATATTAATCTGGACTACTGAACTTGTTCTATTTTATATAGAAAATAAGTTGTTTAGTATACTCAAAAAACAGAATCGATGGTGGTGATACCACTTAATGAAAACTACAGCATTTTTTCAAAAGCTTGCAAGGCTGGTTTACCCTTTCTCTGATGTTCCTTGTGCAGCCTGATTATTGCAAATGCTACTTAGTCCCCAGTGTGTCTCTGCAGCATTGGTAATTAGTGCACAATACAATTTGCAGGAGGCATGAGGAAAAGCACTGAAGTGCATTGATTAATATTGCTACTTAGTTTAACAGCAAGACAAGAAGCTACCATGTACCATGGTCTAAATTACTTGGGGTGGGGATCATGGGCTATATGGAGAATAAAGTGGGTTGAAAAATTTAAAAATCACTATGCTCATTGATCTGACAGTGTCCAAAATGTCTTCCCCAAAGCATTCTACTGACAGATTCAGCATGTTGACAAAAAAAAAAAAATGCATTACAGCTTTGTTAAACAAGTAAAAACCTCTAACCTTTGGCAGAGTGCTTCCAATTCTGAATGGAGGAAGCTGCCATCATTTTCTCTCTTACAAAGCCAGTAGGGAAAAAACCCAGATCCTGTGTTTCATCTGATGTTTCTAGGAATACCACTTACAAGCCTGCTGTGATGCTGCTTAGTCTTACCCATGTGCTTGAGGGAATTGAATCTGGATGAAAAGGTGTGCTGCAAATGTAAGTCGCTTAAAGAAAGAGCATTAGCATTAATAAATGCCAATACAGGTCTAGTTCCATTCTAAATTCTTTTTTTCAAGCTGCTGTAACTTACAGTTGAAGGCATAAAAATCCATACTTTGACATGGCCTAAGGATTTAGCCTGAAGTTCAGCTGCTAATGCAGATGTTTACCTTATCATGCAGACATGTTTACTTCATTCAGTTTTTTTAAAAAAAAAATTTAAAAAAACCTGTTGGCTGACTTGACCTGTCATCTAGAGAGCTTTGCTGCTTCTTGGGAGCTTATATTCAGGAAGTTATAGAGAAGCAGCTGAGGCTCATCTGATCCTCTGTTACCATCTGCTACTCTTCCATATAGGCACCAGAGATACTGTTGAAGTGACCTGGGAAGTATTACATATGACTATATGGCTCTGGGGGTGATGGTCAAGGGTGTGGAGACCCAGGTGGTGTTATTCTTGATCCTGTCAGCAAGGGAGGGGCATGGAGGAGAACTGGGTGAAGTAGATGAGGCCGCCTTCAGAGAAGTGCAATAAGCCTAATGTTCACAGGTCCTGGTCCTTGTGGGGGACTACAATGATGCAGATAATCTGCTGGAAGGACAACAGCAGGGCACAAGTGATCTAGGAGATTTCTGGAGTCCATTGATGACAACTTCCTGACCCAACTGACTGAGGTGCCAACAAGGAGAGGTGCTTTGCTGGCCATGATACAAGCAAAGAAGGACTGGTTGTAGGCATCAAAGTCAGGGGCAGCCTTGGCTGCAGTTACCATGAGGTGGTGGAGTTCAGGATCCTGAGAGGAGGGAGCGGGACATCAGCTGTGGACTTCAGAAGGAGTTTGGCCTCTTCAGAGAGCTACTTGGAATAATCCCATGGGATAGAGACATGGAGAGAAGAGGGATCCAAGAGAGCTGGCTGATATTCAAGGATCACCTCATCCAAGCTCAAAAATAGCCTATTCTGACAAGCAGGAAGTCAAGCATGGGTCAAGCAGGATGTTGTTTTCCTTGACTTTGGTAAGGCTTTGGACTCTGTCCCCCATGATGTCCTAATAGAGAAGCAAAGTATGGGTTAAATAAGTAAACTGAGGTCAGCTGAGAATTGGCTGAATGTCTGTGCCCAGGGGGTGGTGATCAGTTGCACAAATTCCAGTAGGAGGCAAGTCACTGGTGGTCCACTCCCAGAGTCAAAAATTGATCCAATCCTCTTCAATGGCTTCACTAATGATCTGGATGATGGAGCAGAGTATACCCTCAGCAAGTTTGCTAATGATACAAAACTGTGTGGAGTAGTTCATACACCGGAGGGTTATGCTGAAATTCAGAGGCACCTTGACAGGCTGGAGAATTGGGCAGAGAGGAACTTCATTAATGGGAAGCCCTGCACTTGGGCAGGAATAATCCCATATAACTGTACATGCTGAGTGCCAACTGGCTAGAAAGCAGCTCTGCAGAAAGGGATCAGGATCCTAGTGGACAGCAAGTTGAGCGTAAGCAAGCAATGTGCTCTCATGGCAAGCATGGCCAACAGAATTCTGAGCTGCATTATGAAGAGCGTTGCCAGCAGATGGAGGGAGGTGATCCATCCTCTCTGTTTAGCACTGGTGAGGTCACATCCAGTGGCGAGTGTCAAGTCCAGTTCAGAGCTCCCTCGTACAAGAAAGAGACGAACACATTGGAGCAAGTCCAGCAAAAAACCACAAAGGGACTGGAGCATCTTATGTATGAGGAGTGGCTGAGAGCTGAGACTGAGTCTCCAGAAGGGAAGGCTTGGGGGAGTGGATCTTATCCATTGACAGGACGAGTCAATGAGCACAAATTAAAGCCCATTAAATTCCATCTGAATACAAGGAAACAATTTATTACTATGAGGGTGATCAAACACTGGCACAGGCTGCCCAGAGAGGTTGTTTAAGTTGTTGCTTGTGGAGCTATTCAAAAGCCATCTGGACATAGTCCAGGGCAGCCTGCTCTAGGTGACCCTGCTTGAGAAGAGGTCTAGTACTAGATGATCTCCAGTGGTCTCTTCCAACTGCAGCAATTCTGTGAACTCTTTTAAAGTCCTGGCACTAAAAGCAGCAAGTTTGAAAAAACCAGGAACTGTGAAAAGAAGAAAATCTTTTTCAGTTGGTTACTCTCGTGTGAAAGGGATAGAATTCCTTTTTTGATTTGCCCCAGTGTAACTGTGGCAGCTACCATCATCTACGAGCATTCTGGAGTAAGAAGTGTTTTGGGCTCTTTTTTTTTTTTTCTCTAACTCTTTTAAATAGTGTGGGCCAAAGGAGAGTGCAGTAATGCTAAACAAGGAACAAAGTTTCATGGCAATACAGTCACTGGTTATTGCAACAGATACGTTGTGCTTGAATTCTTCCGCAGAATGCATCATACTTCACCTGAGGCACTTCAAATATATATGGCTTATAGAAAATGCTGATGCCCTAGAGAAGAAGGGGAGGAAAAGTTATGGCAAGTGAAGCGTTGCACTTCCCCTTCCGTGTGTGAGAGCATAATTTGTGACTATATATGTATATACAGATCACTGCATCTGAAATGGGAGAATTGGACAGGATGATGCTTGATAGGCAGTTCTTTATAAAATAAATCAAATGGGAAACACATCTTAGCCAAGTGTATGCCTCCCTATAAAAAGCTTTGCAAGTACTGAAATTCAGACTAGGTTAGTTTTCAGGTAGTACTGACTGGAGAGGATTCAGAGTTTTGCCACTCCTAAATTGGTGCAGGTTCTTAAAGTATATGTAGGGAATTGTTTAATGCCTGTTACTTTAGAGATTCTTGCTACTTACTGTAAGGAGGAGCAAGACATTGAATCCAGTTTTAAAATGTAACAACACTTAAAAGGAAATCTCTGCTCAAAAACCTGCAGGATTTCGAGCCAGTGAACAACAGCATACACTTGCTCAAAGAATCTGCGTGGCTGTGTTCAGTCTCTGCATTAGCTGTGAAATGATCTGGGGAACACATTTCAATTACAATATGGAAAGTAGTGTTAGGTTATTCTTGTTAACGAATGTTTTATCAAGTTACAGTCCCCACGTGTTTATTATTGCTCGGAAAGAGATTCTGGTAAGCTGTTGACTGCTGTTCCTCTAGTACAAAAATCCATGGTTGTAGTTTAGAGGAATGGTGAGAGTGGATTCAAGTGGATTTGTGCGGAAGTAGGTAAGGAGAATATAGATCAGCAGTGGGTACAACAACTTTTTCTTCAAGGTAGTAACACATAGCTTTGGATGGGAACTTATTGAACTGCCTCCAGCCAATCCACAAGTCATTTCTCTGTGCCCTCGGGATGTTTCCTGTGCCAGTGGCTGTGTCTTTCCTTCTTCAAGAAAAGAGCAATCTTACAACAGACTTTAGGGAGAATCTTCAGTATTTTTGACTTGGAATCTGTGCTTTTGTCTTACATGCAGCATGACACCTTGATACTAGTTGATGTGTATTTTCAGGTTATTTGTAGGTGACTGCAACTGTGTAGACAGTTTCTTATTATTTTTGAGGAGAACTAATAAGTTGGAACAAAGAAGGTATACCATGTAATTTATCCAAAATGTTTGGTAATGCTATCTTTATTAAATGAGCAAAAACTCCAGTGTTTGTTCTCTACTAATATAAATGAAAGAATGAAGAATATATGCACTTTTTTCTATTTGCAGCTTTTTTAGGTTTCTTCCTCCTCTATAATTAAAACTTACTTGTTCTTACTTTATGAAAGAACATTCATGGTATGTAGATCTTTCTTTCATTTAAATACCTTGATATCAGAAATATGTCCTAAAAATATCTAGTAGCCAAGCTTAAGAGAACTATCACACTCAACATTTTAATCAGATAATTTTTCCCTTTGGCACAATTTGTGCTTTGCATTCTTCAAGTTCTTTAGTTGTATGAACCTGTACCTTGCACTATCCAAGAGTGAATAATGGGGCCTTAAATTTGTTGTTGCTAATTACAGCTTGCTGATACTCCTCTTGCAGCCAAAATGGATTTGAAAAAGACCTGAATACAAGTAAGAGTATGGTTCACAACCTGCAAATTTACCTGTCTAGGATTTGAAAAAGACCTGAATACAAGTAAGAGTATTCACAACCTGCAAATTTACCTGTCTACAGTAGAAATTCATCATGTCTCACTAGGGTAGAGCTGATTTTTACAAAAGATAGGTAGGTAATTTCCTAGGGTTAGCATTATTTTAAGCAGTCATTTAAGGGGAAGAGGGATTGTGGGAAATGGTGACTAATTTTTCAGGTTTCCATAAGAAAAATACAGTAAATAGGTTGGTAACTCCTACACCCATGCTCTAGGTTACATAGCTTTCGCTCCTTAGTGGGATGAGTAAGCTGCGAATCCGAAACTAGAGTACTTTCTCCTTGCTGCTATAAATAAGAATATAGAAAGTCATTTTCAAATGAGAATTCTCAAGTTTGTGCTGCTTCTCCAAATGAAATAAAAATTTGTTCGCTTCTATTTGCAATTAGAAACAGACATCCTGGAAGAGAAAAAAGACGACTTTTGTGTTGAGTTTCAGTTTCATCAGAATTCTCAAAAAAACCCAGAATTTTTCATCCAGGCAGAAGCTGAAGCACTGAAGCTTTCAGATTTGTCAGTAACCAGTCAAAGAAGAGGAGCCTCAAGTGATTGTAATTCCAGTCCTGAAGAATCAAGGTAAAAAACCAACTATCCCTACATGCATTTTTTTTCTGGATTCAAGTTATAGACAGTATACATACAGATTTTTGGATAGAGAAGTTTACCTCCCACCTGAGAATCAGCAAGTCAGTTTGTTACTACTTAGACTCATCATATCTGCCCTTCTTTCCTTGTGGCATGCGGCATTTCACCACTGTGTCCTCTAGCATGGGTAGAAAATACGATCATGGTAATGGCTTATGTGACACACTGCGGGTATTTCAATGATTGTGATCTCTCTAGAGAATTTTAAAAATGCATACTGAACAGAATTAGAAAAGATGATCTAAAAGTCTAATAGTATCTGTGGCCTTACACAAGCATTACGGTGTACCCTAAGTATGATGAGGGAGTAGGAAGCAGGAATAAAGGAGGAATAAGTCTGGATGAAGTTGGAAGAGTAAAGATGAGGAGCTGTACTACCTTGTAGGCAGTCTGTGACAGGACTCTGGAGAAGGGTAAATATGGTTGAAAAGTGTAGTACAAACTGAAGATTTTATTCTGTTGCTAATTTTGGTCATTTATAGTCATTGATTTCCATACTGAGCTGCAGTCTTAAGAAACATATACACTCATGCTCTATGTGACATAAAATATAAAGGTATATCCAGCTGACTAGGGAACAGGCTACCAGTTTTGAGTGGCTTAGTAATTCTGAAACTCAAGTCTTAGCTGAGAGTGACAGAGTTGCTTTTGAAAATGGGGTCAAGGCTGCAGAGCCCTATGATGTACTTTTGAAAAATATACTGTTTGGCAGATTCTATACCTGGTTTTGTTATCTTTAGCACAATCTAGTGGTGATCCATTGGACCAAAAATGGTTCATAGTGCTTTTCCATCTGGCTTGTTGCCTTTTTGGTATTAGGGCAATGCATCTTGCACTAAAAGCCAAATATAATCCTGAATGCGCAAGTACAGCCCAGCGCAAAGTTAGCCAAAGGTTGTTGCTCCTACCCTTCGCCAGCGCCACTCACACTGGAAGTCAGGCTGGTCTTGGACACTGAGATTAACTTCCCACAGCAGTCAGCATTTTCAGCCATCTCATCTGGAAATACATTGCATGTAGGATCTTAAAGCTACAGGCCAAAACCTTATTGTGGTAGATACTACATGAACTGTACAAAATCTGTCCTTCCCCAGGTAGATTGCAATTAGAATATAAGATGAGAAAATATCTTAATATCGAACGACCCGGGAAATGTTGAGTCAGTGTTGATTTGCACTGTATACGATGGTCTTTATGTACCATCAGTGTAACATGTCAAGTTTTGTTTTCGACACCAGGAAGAAAACATTTAAGGGATTGAAAGGTGATGATGAGGTATATTCAAACTTGTAAATGAGAAGCATCTTCTGGACATGGAAAATGCACAAAAAAAGTTTGAGTTTTCTAATGTCTGGGCAATAGTATCCAGAGGCACAGATCACTTGCAGTCCAAAACAACACTAAATTAAATTTGGTGGACAGAGCAAATATGAAATAGGCTTTGAAAAATCTTGAAAGTGAAGACAAGCAGTTTAAGCACTCTTCCACCCCGTATATACACTGTATTACATTAAGTAAGTACTTTTTTAATGTGAATCTCCCTGCTGTCTACACTTGATGTGCTTTAGGTTGCACTGTAGTTTAATTGCAGACTATGGATTTTAACTTCCTTCTTAAAGAACCATAGAGAAAACAAATCCAGTAGAAGCAGGTGAAGAAATGGGTAGTTAAGTACAAATAACTGTCTACCCAAGAGAATGACTCTTTGGAGCAACAGATACCTTTCCTTTTCTTTCTGGGATGTGAATTACACATAATGAAAGTAATGTGTACAGTCGAAGCAGGAGTTCAAAATGTATGGCTTTTCTGTGGCTACTTCTTATGACTCATTGGCTATGAAGCCAATAAACAGAAAATGCTTAAGGGTAGTGAATGTTAAAAATATTTGCTAATACCCCTTCTAATCCGTTCATCTTCTGATTTTGCTGCCATCTTACAAGTGAGATCGGAGTTATCTGTGAGTATCTGGATAGCCAAGGAGTTTTATAAGTCTTACCTTGAGGCAGAATTTTTGTGGCCATTGAATCTTGTCTTATTTTTTCCTGTCTATGGCTAAGTAAGTTATCTTAAAACTCTGTGAGTGCTATACAGTATGGAATTCATGTTGTCAGTTATAATATTTAAAGTGAAGCCATCATTTTATGGATTTCTGCAAGATGAGCTCCTAGATCTTGTCTTCTGGATATTTTCATTTCACTTCATATGGAATTGTCCATCCTGCCGAAGAGTTTGGTTTCTTTTAACCTAAGCATCAATTTGATCTCCAAATATTTCATTACTTTGTCACGCCATGTTAAGCACAGGTTTTTAATATTTGCTTCCTGTAAGCATTTTATGTTTATAGGCTTCATAGCCAATTTATATTCATCTGTATTATGCCTTAGCACTGTAGTATATTTATTTACTATTCCAGATTTACAGACTTTTTTTTTTTCATAATTACAGATTTAAGAAGTGTTAGAAGGACATCCTTTCTACAAGGACATCCCTTTTACTGGCTATTTAATGCATTTGCAATGGTTAACAAATTTTGATAATTTATTTTTGTGTATTTGGTTTGGGGGGGGGAGGAAACTGGTTTTGTATTATTTTTCTTTTTTTTCTCTTCTAAATACAGCACTGTACAAAGAAAGGCTAACAGGGTGCTCCCTGAATTTATATCCTCACGGAGGGATCCTGCAGATTTAGGTGGAAAAACAGAAACTGCATTCCTTTTAAAAGAATTGGACACTCTGAGAGCCAAAAATAAAAAGGTACAATTGAGATATTCAGATCACAGTATTTGCTCTTTTATGGTTGTCTTACAAAACATACATTTTCAACTGTTCCTAATTTAGTTTTGTTATTTATTTTAGTGCACCAATCAATAGCTTTCTTGTCATTCTGGATTCTTAGTATCTGCTTAACAACTGCTGCTCTGGAATTAAAAAAATCTTTCATCCTACCCTTTGACCTTTTCAATCAGTGACATAGGTTCTCGCATCATGAATGGAACCCAAGGAGGACCAAAACCAAGGCAACGGTTTCGTTAATAGAATCTGGAGTTCATGCTTCTGTACATGTGGTCCAGATGATGAATGTGCCAATACCTTCTCTTTGTTGAGGGGAAGAAAATTCCATCCTACTTGCACACTACATTGCTTCTAGTGTCAGTAGCAGTTGTGTGTGCCTAACCAACAACTAAGTCTATAGTCTGTCCGTGAAGTGTCATTGAATATTCAATGGCAAGCTCATATTTCCATCCAAAAACAGATTCTGTGAATTCCCAGTTAAAAGAAAGGCCTCAATGTGTAAAAGAGTATCAGTTTTCTATCTGGCAATCCACATGAAAAATAATGCATTTACGTCACGGTCTCTTCAGGCTGTGATGTCAGTACTCTTGGTAGGAAACAGGCTATTCCTGCAGACACCACCTGCATTATAATTCCATGTAGTTCTGAACTTTTCCTTAGTGAGAAGGACCACAGGTGGTGATACCTGAAGAAGGGAATCCCAAATAAAATTATGGCACACACATTGTTGCTTGTCTTGTAGAGCAAGATAGGGCAGATGATAAAAAATATATTTTTAACAGTTGTCCTTGAAATAAATAAATATCATTAATTGAACTTCTGTTGTATTTCTTGGTGTTTGTATTTTGGGGGTAAGAAACTATTATTTAAAATTTTCTGGTGGTTAAAAGAGCTGTTTGACTGTTTCAGCTAGATAAGAATCTTACTGTCCATTTGTTCAATTCAGCTTCAGGATAAGCTGTCTGAAAAGGACAAGGAGCTGAAGACAATAAAACTGGACTTAGACCTGCAAGAGAGAGCTACAGAAGCTAAGATTGCAGAAAAGATTGCAGGTACAGTAGGCAAGCGTTTAACAGATGGCTGTATGGCTCATACAGTACCCACGGTTGCTATATGACGTGGCCTAGTGAATGTTAGCTTTATTTGCTAAAGGAGGGAAGATTTGACTTTTTTTTTTATGTGTGGCTGTTTAGAGTTGCTTAGAAAATAGGTGGCTTTAACATCCTGGTACTGGTATTAGCAGGAGCTTTACCTGTATTCATACTGATTTGGGCATTAAATGCATTGTTAACACCATGTCAATCCAATCACAAAAAGGTTGTTTGTTTTGTTGGAAGGTCCTGAACAAACAAGGGGAAATAATGATTACCAGTGCCTCTACCTTTCAACCAGCAGTTCAAATACCACTTATTGTTTTAGCTCGTTCAGAGCAATACTACCCCCTCCCCGTGTATGAAGATAGTCGCACATTCACCTCAACTGGAGACCTGCACTTTTCTTGAAAAATCTGTTCTTTTGATAGTTAATGAATTTTTGTCTGATGATGGTATGTCTCCAGTGAATGAAGTTTATACAAATTCCCAACATGAAAAGGTTTTAAGGTTAAAGGTGAAAGTGAATGCGTGCTTATGTTTGTTGTTAATTGTTCTTTCGGTAGACATACAAGAATGGAGACAGTTTGTATTCTGTGATTTTGGAGATTTGTAAAGTAATGAAGCTGAGTATTTTTATTAGTGAGAAGTGACTGTGTGTACAGTGTACCCAGTGGATGAAAAATACGCAGAAGTTTTTCTCCAAGTGTTTCAAAGAAATTAATGGGAGTGCTTTTATAAATTCATTGTATCATTTGTTCATAAATAAAGTGTAAGCTAGGCAAAATTATGTCCTTACAGGCCACATGCACTTCGTATAGCATTAATAGTACTAATACCTGTCCCCAAAATGCTGGTATGTAAGGGAGAAGTAACTGTCTTCAGGAAAATGGAGCAGAAAATAAACTATCCAGCTGAAAAAAACAGATGGCTGACTTTCCACTTAATGTCAAACTCCTGAGAATACAGTATTCTGTATATATTATTAGATGGAAGAGAGAGTTCCTATGTTTTCTGTGGTGGATGAAGGGAAAGGCAAATCTAATATACCCATTAGGAAACAAATTGAAATACAGGCATAATTTTATTCTTTTTTTTAAAATGTAAACTGCTTGCTTTATTTTCAGAAGAAAAATATCTGCACTGCATGTCATAGCTATATCCAACAGCCAAAAGCTAATGCAAATTGTTTGGGTTGAATCCCAAGTTTTGTGTTTGTTCCTGGATATTTGCACAGTGTTTTACCTCTGTACCTGTAATAGAGAAGTGTTCTCTTTGATATAGCTGTTTATTACTCATTAAAACCTGGAAAGAAATGTGTGTCAAAAGGTGTGTCAAAAACGTGTTTAGTTTCATTTTCATGGATACAGTTGAAATATTTGTTAGTAAATTGTTTTTTCCTACATTACTGTTTAAACATTTTAATTATGTCCTAAGCATAATATTCTCTTCAAAACAGTATGGTTATTAATTAACATAGTTATTCCATTTTAAAAGGAATAAGCCAAATTTGAATGAGAGCTACAATGTGTAATAAGGACGACCTTTTAAAAAATACCCTTTTTTCTCCTTTTACAAGTTCAGGAAGTATAATATCCTTAAATGCTGAGAGAGAGGGCAAGAGGCTCCTTACTGCTTAAGCTGTTTGCAAAAAGGAAGCATCGTTAATGTTTCATGGTCTTTTTGCTTTCCTGTCTTATGATTCTAAGAAAGTTACCAAGTTTGGATAAATGTTTTGAAATCTGGAATGATGTGAACCAAGCTGACTTTGTGGAGGCCTATGTGTCTCTGTCTCATAAAAGCCTTGGGGAGACTTCTAATGGACAAGCAGAACCAAATAAAGACGACTCAGTGTGTTTAAGGAAAAACTTTTTCCCCTTGTGTTACGTCCTTTGAGGAAAAGAGAACACATGCGGCTGTGATTTCATGTTACTGGTTAATGTTTAATTACTGCAGTGTATAACACATGGTAGAGTGAAGCTTGTAAATATGGGTGTTTGCATTTTTATTATTACTTAGTACTGACTTTATGATAAGAAAATGACTCAACAAAATTATATTGTGAAAAATATCAGAAAGATACACCATTAAAATGTTATCTAGTTTGAGGAATATTACAATTCTATTTTAAAATGTAACCCTCTAATTGATGGGTTTTACTTAAACAAGTCCTGCGGAAAGAACAAAAAAGCTGAAGATAAATGCCATTTTAAATTGAAGCTGCAACAGTCTTCAAAAACAAATTACCCAAAGCTTGTTGCTTTATGATTTTTATTTTGTTCAGAGGAAGAATTGAAGAGAAAATGTGTAGATTTGTGAAATGCTTCATGTAAGAACAAGAAAAAGTAGAGTTAAGGCAAAAGATATACATGATGGAAAAGAATGTTTAATACTGTGTGCAGTAAATAACTTATTTTTGGAAGGTGGGTTTTTTTAAATTTTACTAGCCTGGAAAATGGATTTTGGAACTTCCTTGCATCCTTATCTCTGTATCAGGTAGCTACAGCTAAGGAAAATTAGAGAATTCACAGTTTTGGTTGCAGGCTTTTAAGCATTACAGGCTATTGTTTCTGGTGGCCATAGTTGCCACAGGTTCCTGCTGTTTCTTCATTATTCTTCTGTTGGATTTCCTCTCACTATAAGGCAATGTCAGAAGGTACCATTAGTTTCACTCCCCATCTGTGGTGGTTTGACCCTGGCTAGATGCCAGGGGCCCACCAAAGCTGCTCTATCACTCCCCTCTAACCGGACAGAGGAGAGAAAAAAGTAAATCAAAGAGCTCATGGGTCGAGATAAAGGCAGTTTAATAAAGAAAAAAAAAAGCAAAAGCAAAGGCCGCACACGGTAGCAAAAGGAAAGAAAACAAGATTTTATTCTCTACTTCCCATTAGCAGGCGCTGTCCAGCCCCTTCCTGGGAAGTAGGGCTTCAGTATACATAGTTCTTCCTGGGGGGGGGGGGGGGGAGGGGGGAATAGTGGAGGCACAGCCTTGATGCTGTTCAAGCACTGCTCAGCAGTAGCCAAAACATTGCTGTGTTATCAACCTCTTTCTACCTACCAATAGAAAGCACATCTCTGTGCTGCTCGACCCAATACACCATCATGAAGACAAGAACAGAGGTGGAGGTAACATCAGGAAAATCAAGGGAAGCTCACATTATAAAAGAACTGAGTCTAGGATAACATAGGGAAGAAAGGGAACACCACATGTGAACTGGGCATGAAGAATAGACAAATCTTGAAATGTGGGGCTGCACAGCTTTCCCATGTTGAACAGAAAAGGGAATGGGTGCGCTCTGTGGGAGGGGACGAGGGAGAAGGAGCACACATCTGAGGACAGACTGGAAGATAAGGATTGAGATGTTGCAAAGGAGTGAGTGTTCAGAAGGACTAGCAGAGAAGAGATCTCACCTTGGATGGACATAATAAGTGACTTCATTTTTGCCTAACAGATGAATTATACAGAGGATATATAGGAACTTTTAGACAAAAGATCTGGTTGAGTGTAAGTGAGAACTGCAGAGCATAGTGGTAGCCTCTTTAAACTGGAAAAAATATCAAAGCCTTGGTCTTCTCACAGTAACTCTCACTGCTACTGCAACGTGATAGAACATAGTTATGTTTTTGTTGCTATCGCAGCGCTATATATTGGGACTAAGAATAATTCTGAAGGGAAATATAATAAAAAATATTTATCATTAAAGCTTTCTATAGCAAGGGCTATTCTTTGGGGGGGTTTTGCCAGTATCAAATAGTAATGTTACAAAAATTTAATAATTTTTGAAATCAGAGTCAGCTGATTGACTCCAGCCTTGCTAGGTCTGTTAGGTGTTGCACACCACCTTTAATGTCTGAAAAATGTATGGCATTCTGCAGATGCTCTCTGAAAGACCAGGGTTATGATAAGAAAAATAATGTGAAAAAAGGGGAAAGCAGTACTTCTAATACTGTTTTATATGTTATACAGCTTTCAGTTGCTTGGAAACTACAGCAAAGTATGTACAATGAAGTCCCTTTTTTCAGGTCTGTTTTTACAAAAATATTGAGAATTAACGTTTGTGGTGTTCTGGAATTCTTTAATATAGTATGGTAATGTTCATGAACGTTATTTAAAGCTTCCTAAATTAATTTGAAAAATAATTACTGAATGCATATGCAATAGTTTTAATAGCAAAAGTAAAAACAAATATCCAAGTGGCTATTAGCTTAGAGTTAGTTTGATTTAATATCCTGTAAAGTAAGAGGAAATAAGTAATCTTGCCAGTAATAAACTTTGGGTGGCAATAACTTCCAGCACAGAAGAAAAGTATTTTCCATTTCTTCAAGCTCACTTTAGAGTCCCTTTTTAGATGTTATTTTTCTTTCTTGCATGTCATCCATTAAAGATTAGCTGTGGAAGGTTGGAGCATGGAGAGATTATGAATGACAGAACAACTCCTGCAGAATAATAATCAGTTTTTGGTATTTAATGCTGTTTGACTTTTGCAGACACATTTCTTATTAACCTTTGGTACAAACAGAAATCCAGGTTCCTGATATCTCATGGAGAAGATGAATTCAAGATCCTCTTCCAATTAAACTGAAATAAGGCCAATATTGGGCTTTAGCCAAAAGAACTCGGTAGTTCCCAACCCTTGTGTTTATAAACCTAAATATGAATGATATTTTACAGTTTAAGTAGGTGATGCATATACTTCCCTAATTCAGTTTTCTGTGCATAATTCATTTGTATATACAGGCTATATAGTTCTTAGGGGTTTTGTCCTATTAATGCTTCATTATGCAAAACTGTTTCCTGAATATTTTTTCAAAATATTTCCTGGTAAATAACAGAATTTTGAAAATAGCCATAGGATTTGAATCCTCTGTATGGGAAGGTAGACAATCCATCTAAAGGACAGAGAAAAAAAGCCAAGGTAGGTGTGTTGTGACTGAGAACATCTTGGCTTAAATTTTAACAG